AAATCCCATCCAAGATGTTTCTTCCAAAATATATATGTGAACCTAACCACTTTTTATCACTTTCACCCTAGTCCTAATTCTCATTTGCAATACGGAAATACTGATTCTCAAAATAGCAAGTAGAACAAACTTTTAAAAAACAAGTCAAATCTGATTGTTACTCACATATTACCACTGTATCTCCTTTCTTCCACACTAAAAATCCTGAGTTTCAAGGATACAGGATAGAATTAGAGAATAGAATTTGATTTCCATAATTACTTATTTGTTTTATTCCATGTTGCACTCAACAGCAGTTTCAGAATAGCATGAAATACAGTTTTTAGCATTTATCCTATTTTCGTCTTCAGGAGCTTACAGTATCTGTAACTTTCTTCAATATTTGTTGTTGCTGTCTTTCAAATATTTTAATTCTTCTTGATTTTTCAAAAGTCTTATTTTTCATATTTTATTTCTCTTAAGGCATTACCTTTGTGTGATTGGAACTTGTGTGCCTTCTAGTGTGTCTTCATTTAGAATTTTTTTCTTTCATCTTTAATTCTTTACTGGGTTCTGTCAACTCATATCTGTGTCTTTCTAATTCTGATATATGTTGTTCTTTCATGTTTTCTGTCATTGTCTTTAGCTTGTTTTGAAATAGTATGACTAAATTTTTGATTTTTTTTTTTCGAGCAGGTCTTTATGGGATTTTATTCCGTTTCTTATTCTCTTTTCTATTATAGTAACTCTGTGTGAGATTTGACCGCAGTATTTTTTGTTGTTCATTTTATGTGAAGTTAGTTTTTTCTGAACATTTAGATTGAGACAGGCTTCAGAATAGCTTTTCTAACTTTACAGAGCTTCCTCTTCTGTTCTTTTTGTGGAGTGTTTAAACATATGGCTGCTTGTTTTCTGAGATTTCCTGGATTTATTTTCCTTCCCACTTTGGTCTCGTCCTTCTCTGTCTATGTCTCTTGGATCCCCCTGCTGTTGAATTTTGATGCCACTTCCAGAAGTTTGTGTGTGGGGTTCTGTCTTGGAAAGGAGCCCTGTGGGATCTGTTTGAGAGTTATATGGGTTGGGACTGCTCTTATTCATTCTCTCTTTTCTCTCATGGCTCCACTGCACACATTCAATAATGGAGAGAGCAAAACTCTTGCAGTTCAGCTACCATTCTCAAGTTGCTCTGCTGTGCTTTCCTGTGAATTCCGTTTGCTGTTTTGGGTTCTCCTATTCTCAGGTCCTTCAGAATTATTACTCCATTGCTTCTTCCTCTACCTCCAGCCCTGACTCTGATACTGTGAAGAATTTGTGGCTGTTGCTGGCTTGTGCTCATCCTGTGTGTATTTTGATGTTTGTGAGGATATCACGTCTTTGAATTTTGTTGGCTTTTTTTTCGAGTTTATTGCCTAGTTCTGTCTGATTTTATGCGGGGATTTGGAGGTAGAGAAAACTACGTCATCACTGCTACCTTCTTTCTAGAATGCCTCCCGATATTCCTACTTAACTGAAAAGAAGACATATTTATCAATACTGCTGCTGCTGCTGGGTGAGAAATCAGGAGGAGCCCCATAATTCTGGCTGAAGGCCACTGTTTCATTTTTCACTTTGTTTTGATTTTAGGACTTTATTTTTTGTGGAGTTAGATTTTACTGATCAGATACATGACTGTTTCTCCTGGGCCTGGGTTGGGTACTCTTGCTGTTTCGTAATATCCTGGGTTATACCATGTCCCTTGAAGCCAGGCTTTGAAATCTTTTTAAAATACCCCTTGTTACCATGTAGTATCTGTTTGGGTTCACACTAGCTTTGCTCTCTTGTGGTGCCTGTTTGATTTACCACAGGAGCATTTCAGCAGCCTGGGATTTTTATCAACAAGCATCTTATTATGTCCTTTGTGCTTATCCTGACAACAAAAGGTAAAATATGGCCCTTTCCCTGAGGATTTTGTTTAGTTCATCTTGTCTGTATTTTGGACTGATGTAGAAAAAAGGGGAGCTGGTTTCTTGTTAACTCTTTTCCCCCTTGACCGCAACCCCAATTCTAAGTTATTTAGGCATATCGTGTAGGTGATACTGATAAAAATGTTGTGCCAATTAGAGGCAAATCAATCTTTGAATTATAGTCTTGATTGGATTTGAAATTTTGTTTTATGTTGTCCTTACAAACTTCCAAGATTCTAAATAAAAGTCTGAATTAATCAATGCAGACCCACATCAACTTGAGGAGTGTATTTGTGTTAAGTGGTCTAAATTGCTACAGATAGTTATTCGGAGTTTTTGAGATGTGATAGTTTCTCTCCTACGTTATGTTTAGGATAGCAATTTAGGCAACTTGTAGCATCTTTCTAATTGTGCTTTTCATCATTTAAAATTGGGCAAAGAGGCAAACGGCAACTCTATAACACTATATTTTAGCCTATATATTTTTGAATAAAACTCCTTGGATAGTTCCTAACCTAAATTTATTTTCTTCCAACTTACTGAACAGATACCTTTTTTTTTTTTGAAACAGGAATAGAAAATGGCTGGTGTGTCTGAAACCATTTATAGGTTTGACTATTACTTTCCTCTCAGTAGAGTAATGGTGAAGAACATAGCTTGTGAGTTAGTCTGCCTGTTTCCAGCTGTATGACATTGGATAGTTTCAAGCCTCTGTATGCTTCCATTTTCTTATATGTAACATCTCGCAGTAATGGTACTTTTATCATAGGATTGATGTGTATTAAATGAAACAGTGAATATACGTGTTAGATCCTCAGTATGGCTTAATGAATGATTATTCAGTGTTTATGATGTATTAGGTGATGTGTTGGGCAATTGGGATATAATAATGAGCCAAAAAATCCTCCACTTTATGCTTTACAGTGTAAGTGGAGGAGCTAATTAATTAGTAATCACATTAAAGAATATAAAATTGCAACCATGATAAGTGCAGTGGAGAGGTATGTGGCCATCTAGGAGCATGTAATAGGGACTTGAGCTGACTGGGAGGTTAAGGAAAGTTCTCCTTGGAAAGACTGAGTAAAGATCTAAAGAAAAAAGATGGGAATGAACTAGGTGAAGGTGTGTGTTTGCTACATATGTGAGTGAGCATATGTGGGACAAAAATGTCCCAGACAGAGGGAAGAGCGTGGAGAATGGCTCTGTGGCAAGAGCGAACTTGGTGAATATAAGAAGTTGAAATAAGGCGAGTGTGACGGGAGGGTGACAATGGCCAATATTTTTGGCAATGAGGCTGGAGAGGGAGGGAGGGAGGTAAGGAGGGGTCACAACTTGGTGGCCTTTATAGACCATGTTTAGGAACGTGGTGTAGCAAAACGGTGTTACGTATTTGAATTCTGGAGAGATATTTGCAATAATCTGTTATTATTATTATTATTCCCGAGAGGCCTTTCCATCACTGAATATGTTTATATACTTTAATATTTATTTATTTGTTCTGTTCCCCAATCTCTGTTGTTGCTCTTCTCTGAACGCTAATTTGTCAATCCTTCCATTTAGGAAGAAAGCTGAGAAGATCTCTTTGTTTTCTTTCAATTTTACTATTTGAAATAGAATTTGCTTTTGTATAACTTTAGGCAAGATAAATGAAAAACAATTGCCAAAATATTACGTACTGTGGCACTTATAAATATTTTATGTTTCTTAGACTTTATAAAATGCTCAAACGCTGTCATTTGTTATTTGTCTAACTTAAAGAAACCAAAGCCAAAATTATTAGAAATTTTGGTGTCCCATTTTGGCAGGAAGCTCAGAATGATTTTAGATGTTTTGGTCTTACCCCAAACCAACTTTTGAAAATGTGAGACTTGAGGCCAATTCTGTGTGAAAGATAAGAGCACTTTGGAAGGTAGCTGTTATGTGTATGCATTTGTGTATTGGTGTTTGTGTGTGTGTGCATGTGCATGTTTTAATTTCATTGATCTAAAATTGGTCCATGAAGAGCTACTGTGGGAGCTGTGAAGCTCCCCAGAGATCAAAGGCCACAACTCTTCTTCCCAGAGTAAGATAGGGGAATAACTGTGTTGCCACAACTCTTCTGCCCAGAGTAAGATAGGGGAATAACTGTGTTATATTAGACCACATAAACACAATTGCCCTGAGTGATGCATAAAATCCGGGTAGCCTTGGGATGCCCTGGAGCTCACACCATGGTGCTTCATCAGGGTTTTCCCCTTCAGACACTAACTATTCCATGCACCATACCTTTTCCTCTTTGTCCTCTGGCATATCTGCTACGTATAAAGATGCTTGCCCTAGGTGCCTGTCCGGGGTGAGAGTTGTTAATCACACTAGCAAATGTTTTACTTTTGTAACCACAATTCTTGCATGTGTCTAATAATAACTTTCCATTTCATGTAATATGCATCTGCACAGGATTTTTCTGAATATGATTATATAACTAAAGAGTGCTTTAAGTGGTAGGAATTGTGTCTAGCCAGCATTATATAGAGAGTACAGTCTTGGATGCTGGATTTGGGTCCATGGGAGTGTGATCCCCGTCATATCTTCATTGCAGATGATAGCATATTCCACAAGAAGCACAGCATGGTGGGAGCTGAAAAATCAGGCGAGGTTTTTGATCTTTATTTGATGCATGAAATTTGATTTCATGTCCTCAGGAGAAAACAGTTCTTTTAGCCCATATAATTCTGTGTAACATATTTCATTCAAATAATTTCACCTAAACTCCTAAATAAAAAAATAAAAAAAATTTTCCTGATTAGTTCTACACTTATGTAATAGTTAACTTGCTTTCTATTGAGTGAACATACTTAATATTTGACCAAGAAGTTAACGAAATATTTGAGGAAAGAGTTAATGGTTTAGAATATTTTGTTCATGGTTATATTAATGGGCGATAAATAAATGTTCTATTAGCAAATGCTGTAGTAAGTCAGCTCCTCACATAGAACACGAACCCTTTGGGTGCAGGGGTGATCATAATGCCTGACGTGAGCCATGTAATGTTTGTTAAATGACAGGTAGTCATCCTGGAAAATATTGTATGTGTTTCAGGCCCTGATCTTCAGGTCTGCACATCCACAAAACCTACATGTTGCACCAGAAGGATGGAGGAGAGATATCTAATCGCAGCTCGCCAAGATTTGCAGCAGGTGCTTCAAACATCCAGCGCCACATTGAAATTTCTAATATCGCGAAATGCAGCTGTTTTTCAAGGTAAATGGGTCTTGAGTTCTGAAACTAAGGATTAGATTTGTTATGTAATTTGCCTATGATAGTTATATCGGCAAACTTGGCTGGGTGATTTCCTTACATTTGTATATTATTCTGCTATAAAATGAAGTTTTAGCTTTTTCTAACCTTCAGAGCTTGTTTCTGAGGTTGTTCTGGGCGTATATATTGAGTTGGACCTGGAAAACTGTTGTATTCATGAAATGGTGCTTGGAAAAATATGCCCCTATAGGATTCTTCCAGGTCCCCAATATTCTGGATGTATGAACAGACATAATTGTTAGATTTCATGAAAAAATTCTATAACATAAACTCCCATTGCTTTTAACTAGGTATTATAGATTTATTTTTTAAAATATGATTTGAAAAATTATCTGTCTAATTTCCTCCCTGAAACCTCATGTGGTTTTCATAAGAACACGAGTGTAATATATTAAAGTACAGGCAAATTTGATAAATAGTAAAATAGGAAATATTAATTGGATGTTTAAGGGTCAGTAAAGACTAGAACTCAATCTTAATTCAAACAATATGTTCAGAAGTAAAATTAATGGGTTATAAAATTACAAGGCACAGTGAAAAATAGATGATCTTTTTTATTTTAGTCATCTCTTCTATAAAATTCCTTATTACTGCAATAAAATAGCCTAATTTATTTTTCTTTTTACAAAGGATTAACTATTCTGTATATGACTAGAATGAAAATATCTAGATTACACTGCTTTTCAAATTTATTGCTTTTGTTCAATGCAGAATATAACTTCTGTTAGTATTCTTTTTTAATAAGTATATTAATGTCAATCCATTTAAATAATTTGTTTTGTTTACATACATAATGAAATCAGAAAGCTGATTAATTTTTAAAAGTAGAGTTATATAAAACAAATACAATAAATCACAATAAAATTTAAGTTGACTTAAAATGAAGTTTATGATGAACTGATGATTTTTTTGTAGAAACCATGAAATGTTAGATTTTAAGATGTTATTAATTTAGCAATTCTTAAAAAATGACTTAGAAAATAATAATTTCTGTTATGGGATTTATTCATGTGAAATTGTTGGAGGAAAATTTAGTGATATACATTTTAAACCATCATTTGTGATTTGAACTGGCTGAATTAGAGGCTTTAACCACCTTACATAAAAGTATGTGATGATTATTTCACATGAAAATAGTAATATGTACCACATGGAAAATACAATTTAAAGGTAAGTGGGCAGTGAATTGACCAGTCAGAGCAGAACAGGAAGTTTGTGGTTATTGGTCATCTGTTTGAAAATGTGAGCTGGACTCATTGAAGAAGGCTTAAAATACCAACTTGAGTTTCAGAGAATCATTAAAGATTTTTGAACAGGGAAGCTTCCATATTTTTTCTCATCTTTCAATGTCAAAACTAAATCTCTCCAAGTAAGAATATATGATTGAAAAAGATCATGACACATCTAACCTTTTTGCATACCAATATTAACTATATGGGTGAAAGTGCCAACAGTGGCTAACACATAGGCACTCGATGTTAGCCAAACATTTTCTTCTGTGTTCAAAGATATAACAGACTTTTCACATATGAGGATACTTCAAAAAATTCATGGAAAGATTCATATTTCTTTTAACTCTATTTTTTCATGAACTTTTTGAAGTGCCCTTGCATTCTTGGATAAGTTGATTAAGATAGAGCACATTAAGTTAAATATATTTGGAAACATGGAATATTTAGACTTTTAAGATGGGTTGCGGGGCTGGCCAGTTAGCTCATAGCTTAGTTGGTAAGGGTGTGGTGCTCATAACATAACACCAAGGTCCAGGGTTCAATCCCTGTTACTGGCCAGCCCCCTTGACCCCCCCCAACAACAAAAAGATAGGTTTAAACTACTGGAAAGTTTTGGTGATAATGCGAAAAGTTTGGTGATAAATTTTTAGTAGAAATACATATTAAGATATGAGATTTTCTCTACCAGATGTCAGATAATTTTACGTAAACTTTCATTATTTTCTGTTTAATAAATTGTACCTGTTATATTTAATAGGTTGACTTTTGCTGTTTATTTAAAAATTAATAGAGACATTCTGAAATATAATTGGTTATAATAAATTACCATTTTCTCTCTTTGTGGATGCCAAGTTTTATTTAAGAATCATGAGAAGGCAAGACAAATTTAAAAGAAATTTGCCTAAAGGCTAACTTTACTAGAACAAATTCTCTCCCAAGTATACTCCCTTTTAATTTAATGAATAGAATAAATAGCTTTAGGCTTATTTCCATAAAAACGAGCTTAAACATATATGCTAAAAGCAATGCAAGAGATTACATTTGCTGTATCATAATGGAGCAAGCTAGGTTATCAATAAGAAAAATGCCCTTTTTCTAGTTCTGTGCAATCAAAATAGCTGAGAAGAGTTCAAAGTTTTTATTTTCTATTAGAAGAAAGAAGCCAACACATTTTATTGGGAAACATAGTCTGCTTGAGAGAAATTTAATAGAGAAATCACTTCAGTTCTCAAATGGTGTAAGTAGACTTGCTACATTTTGATCTTTTAATTTGCAAATATTTCATTTATATTTCATAGTTTAACAGTATTAATCTGTTCTTTTACTGGTATTGTGGGTTATAAAAGATGTTGGACTGGGATGATCTCTTCCCTTTATGGATGTGACAGGACCCTGTGGAAACATGTTTTTGAGCAACCCCTTCAATATAGCCAACGGGGATGATCACTTGGGTCTGTGGACGTGGACCCCACTCTACTGTTAGATGAAGGCTGGGAGGTTGGAAGTGCGTAAGGAAGAGAGGAAGCTGTGATGGCAAGTGATGCTAGAAGAAACATAAAGTTATCCTAGTACAAATCACACTTAGCTCTGGAGTCCGCTGCCTGGGAACATAACAGACTAGAATCAGCCTCTGGGACGACTCTCATACTTTTTTTCTTTTAAGGAATTTGTTGGTGTTTGTTTCAGTCAGATTTCCATAAAATATAAAAAGCATCTAAACAAAGATCTGTTGTTGGAAGAGCCCATAATTATGACCTGGGACTTCTCTATATCCTAAAGGGCAGTTATTCATACAGCATCTTATAAGGTAAAAAGAATAAGCTGATATTCTTATGTCTGTGGCTGTTCATAAATAAGCTGTGCTGTTTGCAAAGAGAAATGCTGGCTTTGTCATAGTGTAGACATAACTGTTCTTCATTTTCAGAGGCTTAATAATGCTCATGAATAAAGCAGAACAGCCTGGGGTAATGCAGGAGTTTGTTTCCCTTTGCCTGTTTTACTATGTGTGAGATTGCCTGCTTTAGAAATATTTTGGAAAATTTTTTTTATAAATGTTTTATTTATTTATATGGTAAAGTAAGCTATGACCCAGGAAGAAATGGGGGATTGACAAAGAATATATCATCCACTTTAAAAAAGCAACTCTTATCCAGCTTTCAAATTTGTCAGTTTTAAAATCTTTATTCAAATAAGATGATAGAGTTCAGCTTTTCAAGTTTGTAACTATACAAAAATTTCAGCATCACTTTCAAAAATAAAATGAAGGAATATTTGGGAGGACACTATTGGGAGCTTGTGTTTTGTTTCAACACTGAGAAGATAAGATTATATTTTTTCTTAGAGATATACCTTTCCCTATTTCTCTCATCTTCAGATATGCTCACATATATCTAGAAAATATGGTAAAACTAAGTCTTTATTCAGGAAAACTTCCAGTTTTATATATGGCATTTAAAAAATAAACGTTATTGCAAAAATCTGAGTAATAAATGATATTTAAAACAGGAATGATTTAACATTTTTTTATAATTTAAATCTCTTGGCTAATTAAATTTCATTTCTTGATTATAAATACTTGAACGATTGGCAAGCTTGAGCTTGTCTTTTTGGGTCAAAATGTTAGATTCAGGTATTTAATTAAAAATAAATTTCCATTTTTCATAAAATATAGTAATATGTTCAAAATGAGATATCTTATTTTTTTAGAAAAAGGTGAATTGAGAATGAGAATATGAATATAATTGATGGATTTTCCTCCTTAATGCTAACAGATACTAGCTACTTTAAAATGTATAGCTAGTGTGTAGCTATTGTAAAACTAGAGTAAAATGTGTATACGTATACATAAATACTGTCAAAGACACAGAATATAGTTAATATTTGAATATATTAATGTATAGGAGGGTAAATAGATTTATATAAGTGGTATAATATTAAGCACAGAGTACATTAATCTTATTTTGTTCACTCAGCTATTCTTTACAAAGGTGGATAATAATTAAAATTGTTCTTTGAAAGAGCAATATGTGCAAGAGTAGAATAATTATTCTATTTCTTTTTTGCATATTTAATTTATTTTTTTCATATTTTATTGTTACACAATGTAATCATTTTTGTGGCCCTTTACTAAATTTTCCCTAATCCCTCTCCCGCTCCCCCTTTCCCACCTCTGGTAGCCTCAGTTCTTTTCTCTCCTTTTGAAAGTTCAATGAATTATTGTGATTGTTGTATTTTTCTTTTCTTTACTTTTCAGCTCCCACTTATGAGTGAGGATGTGTGGTATTTCTATTTCTGTTACCTGGCTTGTTTCAATTAACATAATTTTCTCTAAGTTCATACATGTTGCTGTGAATGGCAGAATTTAATTCCTTTTTATGGGAGAGTAGTATTTCATTGTATATACATATATATATATACCACATTTTCCTTATCCAGACATCTGTCGATGGCCAGTCTAACTGGGGTGAAACAATATCTCAATGTGGTTTTGATTTGCATTTCCCTGATGCTGAGTGATATTGAGCATTTTCTCATGTGTCTGTTGGCCATTTGTATAACTTCCTTCGAGAAATGCTTATTCAGCTCCTTTGCCCATTTTTTATTTGGGTTACTTGGTTTTTACTGTTAAGTTGTTTGAGTTCCTTGTACATTCTGGATATTAATCCCTTGATGAATGCATAGTTTGTGAATATTTTCTCCCATTCTGTAGGT